ACAGGCCAAGGGCCTGGCCACCGGCACAGACGCTCCCAGACCAGGGAATAGGCAGGGGCTTCCAGACCCCTCCCCAAGTCGTCCTTTAGGCTTGTCGGGGGCAGGAAGGGGAATTGCTCTCCTTTGTCCCTAAGCCCAGGGCCTGTGCCCCGTGCAGCTGGCCTGGAACAGCCTTGCTGTTTTTGCCTGGGGTCAGAGCCAGGGCCACTGGGGTCCTGCTGACCTAGCTTCACTCTCGAGCCTCGGGCCTGTGCTGGCCAGTGGTCCCTCCCTGCCTCTCTCATCCCGACAGCGTCAGTGAAACACTCCTGGTCTCGGCTTCGCTTGTATTTCTCTACTGCCAGCCTTTCTTCTTGTTCCATATATGAAGACCCACTTGACCCATTTCTTCAGAGCTAGGAAGGAGTTTTGCCTTCCTGTGAGATAGTGGCTGCTCAGTGGAACCTGGAGCCCAGGTTTGGCTCAGCCTCGTTTCCAGATGCCTTGGGGCCCACATCTCTCTTCTCTTCTGCTTGGCTCTTGCCTTTTCATCTCTTTATAAAAAGGAAGGAAGTGAACTGAGCAGCCTCAGGCTTTAGAAGTGGGTCCCTGGCATCCCCTGTAAACCAGGAAGGTGGTCTCACTCTGTACCTATCACACAGGTTCTCGGGACAGGAAGTCAGGTGGGAGACTGGGCTCCCCGAAGCCAGAGCGGCAGAGAGGCCAGAACTCCAAAGCCCCTGCAGCCCCATCTGACAGGTGAGTCCCACCCAGCACGTGCCCTGGGCGCACCTCGGGGGCTAGACCAAGCCCGTCCCTCGGGGAGGCCAGCAGCATCAGGGCCAGCCCTGAGCCAGGCCAGAGGCTCCGCTTAGTTCAGAAGGCAGAAGGGCAGCCCAGGCTGGAGGTGTCACTCCAGCTTCTGCTAGGCAGACAGGGTGAGGGGCAGGGAAGGCCAGCTCCATCCCCACAAACACACTCCTGCCCTGGTCGAGGCTGCCCTGGGCACAGAGGTGGGAAGAAGAGCAGGAGGTTGTGCGGGGCCGGCCCAGGCCCCTCCCAGTCTCTGGTCCACAAAGCCCGGGAGCCCGTGGGTAGGACCAGGCCTGCTTGTGACAGCATCAGCCCCTGCCTGTCTTGGTGGCCACTGAGGGCGCAGTGGAAGCTCCCCTGCAGGGAGGACAACCTCGCTGCCCTGTCTGCCTGCAGACGAGGCTCACAGTCTTCCCCACCCGCTTCCAGGAAGCGCCAGCTGTCACCGCAGGCTAAGAGTTCCAGCAAGGTCACCAGCGTGCCTGGCAAAGCCTCGGATCCCGGCGCCACCGCCAGCACCAAATCAGGGAAGGCCAGTACACTGTCACGGCGGGAGGAGCTGCTGAAGCAGCTGAAGGCCGTGGAGGACGCTATCGCGCGCAAGCGGGCCAAGATCCCTGGGAAAGCGTAGGCCGTGCCCCACCGGGCTGGACGTGTTTTTATACATAGGGTAAGCACAGCCATTTCGGATTTTGCAGTTAATATCTTATTTTGGCTGTGATTCTTTTTAAAAAGTAAAAAAGAAAAAAAAGTTTCTCAGCTGGAAAAGAAGCCACAGAGGAAATGATGCCGCTGAATCCCCGCCTCCCTCCTCAGAGCAGAAGTCCCGCTGGACAGACACCGACAGCGCTAGTGACCAGCACGGTTCTCATGTAAATTACAAGCCCCAGCCGCCAGCCCCGCCGTCTCTTCCTCCTCCACCGTCTTCTTCCCTGGCCCCAGTCAGGCCCGAGGAGCCCCCACTCTGGGTCCCTGGCTCCAGGTCCAGGCAGCCAGGCTCCCTCCTGAGCCGAGAAACGGAACACCTCGTGAACCACTGGTGGCACCTCCTCCTCCTCACCCGCCCCTGGATCAAAAATATATATATATTCTCAACTAAAGTCTGATCAGGAAATACTTCCTGTCTTTTATTTTAAGCATCAAATTGTTTTAGTTGATTTAAAAAGGAAAAAATACAGAAAAGACCAAAAAAAGACCAAGGGTATTGTTGGGGCATCTGTCTAATGTGGAGGGTCTTTTTTTGAGGGGTCTCCTAAAATAAAATATTTTGATAAGCAGCTGTCCTTGCCCTCGTGCTGTGTGTGCCCTCTGCCTACGAGCAGCCGGCGCCGCCTCTGCTGCACGCTGCGCTCAGCCCTGCGCTCGGGAGCCACTGGAGGGTGAGGGTGTGGCCACGCTCATCCCCCACCACCTGCCCCAAGGACCCACCCTGGAGCCGGAGATGTTGGCGGCGGGGGGGGGGGGGGGGGGGGCTGGCACCCATGCTGCTCCCCCTGGGCTGTGCTGGGACTTCCTTGGTCTGTGAGGAGGAGGCACCTTCCCTGCACAGGCCATGGTGCTGGAGGCCAAGAGTTCAGGGCCAGCTGCCAGCCCCCAGTGTGATGCCCCATTCCACAGCAGGAGCCACAGGCACAGCCCCCAGGACACCCGCTGCAGCCCCCTGCTCTCCACCTTGAGAGCCACGGGCCTGTGCCCAGCAGAGGCCTCCCAAGCACACTCCAAGGCCTCCTTTAATCAGATTCAAGTAGCCACGGTGTGGTGCCCAGGCCTGCCGCCCACCCATGTCCCTCATCTGCTGCCTGACATGAGGTTCGGGACAAAGGCCCCGAGAGCGAGCTCCCTCCCTCCCCCAGGGCCGCAAGCTGAGCCCCAGGGAGGCAGCCACCTGCACTTCTGTTGCCGGCGTGACCTGCGTCCCAGCTGCCCTTCCCTTGGATTAAATGGCAATTCGAGTGTGGGCAGAGGAGCCGCACGTGAGCGAACACTGCAGACCGCCTGCAGTGTTCCTGAGGGGACTGCTTCCCATTTGGTGTCTGTGTCCCTCCCACATCGCAGGCCACGCAATTCATCGTGTCCCAGCGGCCTGGATCCTGTGTTGGGGCAATTTTTTGAGGCTTACCCGATTTGCTGTCAGGTCAAAGCCAGGTGCAAAGGGAATTCCCGTTCTCTTCAAGGCCACAGAGCTGGAGGCCAGGCCACCCTGGGTGCCCGCCTGTCTTCTGTGGGCTGCACCACCAGGGCTGGAGGCCAGGAAATGCACTCTGCCCCCAGTGTGGGGCACCTCGAGCCAGCACCTGCAGTGACTGCGTCTCTGAAGTCCAGGAGCGGACAGGTGAGCCCACCACAGCCCCCCTGTGGACTGGTACCAGGCGAGGCCCCTCTGCGGCTGGTCAGCCTCCGGCCACAGCCCTGGGCACCTGAGTCTGGATCTGGGTTTTTAACTCGCAGCAGGTGGCAGCAGACCCGGGGCTCCAGAGCTCTTGGACACCGGTACAGAGGGGCCTGTTCCAGGAGGGGGACTCTGCCCCCATGGGGTCTAGTGGAGAGGGTGTTCAGCCAGGCAGCTGGGAAGGACAGCCTTGCTGTGTCCTCCAGGGACATCCTCCTCCAGGTGGTTGGTGCGCACATCCTCGCTCCCCACACAGTGCCTAGAAAGCCTGTGGGGGTTCTGGCAACGATGGCACCCGCCCTCCAGCCCTTCCCAGGGGGTGCCCCAGGGCCTCTGCCCACAGCCCCTTCTCCACAGCCACACTCCCACCCACCTGTTTGGTGGGGCTTTGGGTGGGCAGGAGGATGTAGACAGACAGCTCACACACGTCGGGGGTGGCGGGAAGGCTGCGGCTCATGAGGCCACTCCTGCTGGGAAAACCCATGGGAAGGGTGGCCGTGCCACAGGGAGGAGCCCTCTGCTCTCCCAGCCAGCATCTCAAGATGATTTTGCACCCCCGCTGGGCCAGCAGTGCCCCCACCCTGCCTACCCAGGTGGACACACCTGTGTTGTAGGAGCTGGCTTCGCGTGACCTGCTGTGCACCTGCACCTTGATGTTCCAGGAAGGCCCTGCAGAGCCTGGCTGCTTCCTCTCTGCCCAGTGCTCCTGCCCCCGCTGCCGCCGCCTCACCCCTCCTCCCTCCAGCCCCTCAGGACAGCTAAAGAGCTCCCAGCCAGCCGGGTGTGGTGGCTCACGCCTGTAATCCCAGCACTGTGGGAGGCCGAGGCGGGTGGATCACGAGGTCAAGAGATCAAGACCATCCTGGTCAACATGGTGAAACCCCGTCTCTACTAAATATACAAAAATTAGCTGGGCATGGTGGCGCGTGCCTGTAATCCCAGCTACTCAGGAGGCTGAGGCAGGAGAATTGCCTGGACCCAGGAGGCGGAGGTTGCGGTGAGCCGAGATCGCGCCATTGCACTCCAGCCTGGGTAACAAGAGCGAAACTCCGTCTCAAAAATAAAAAGAGCTCCCAGCCGTGGGTCCCTCCTTACCTGCATCTAGAGGGCATGTCCCTCGATGCAGGTCCTGGGGTCTCAGCTGACCCACCCGGTTCTAGCTCTGCGTTTGTCTGAGGCCCCTCACTCTGCATAGCCCGACTACGGTCCCGGGGCGTGGTCTGCTGGGGGCGGGCCGGGATGTGGTTTGAGAGCCGGCCTGTCTGGGTCTCCACCTCTGGGCCGCCCTCCAGCCTTCCTGCTGCCGCTTTTCCAGTCTTGCCCAACCTGGTATTTCTGCCCTTGCCTCAGCCACCCGCAGGAGACCGGCTGCCCTGGGTCCTCCCATCCTCTGTGCCCTTGGGACCCCCTTGCCCCACCCAGCCTGCAGGTCCCTCCAGTTCCCTAGGCGTCGCTTCCAGGCCCTCCAACCCCCAGGACAGTGCTAGGAGCCGGCAGAAGGTGGGGAGGCGGCTCTCTGGTGCCATCCCATGGTGCAGCTCGTGCCTCAGGGTCTGGCCGTCCCACCTCAGAGCCAGAGCAGAGCGTGAATGGGGTGACGGCCGCTGGGAAGAAAGCCGCCCAGGTCAGAGGAGGAATGTTGCCTGGAGTGAGTCCACTGGGAGTCTGCCTTCTTGCTCCCTGGGCACGGTGTAGGATGGGGGACAGCAGCTGAGGGTCAGGGGACAGGGAGGACACTCCTCTCCCTCTGCTCACTCATTCCCTCCCTCCGCCCCCACCCACCGGATCCCTCCTGCCGAACTTAATCCACCCAGCCATTTACCTCCTCAGGCAGACCAGGTCCTACCCCAGGAAACTGAGTGGCCATGTGGCACAGACCTGTGCCCCATGCCAGGAGGGAGGGTGACCAGCTCCACCTGGGAATGGGAGCGAGGGTAGCAGGCCGAGATGGAGGGCATCTCCCTCTTCCCATCTTTTCCTGGCCTCTTCCTCCATTCCCACTGGCTCCTCCCCTCCCGCTTCGTCTCTTTCTTGGGTATGGTTGAGCAGGTCTTGGGCTGCACAAGGGCTCCCGGCAGAGGACAAGGACTGACATCAGCTTGTGCTTCCCCCTAACCCTGCATGAAGGCACCCCAGGGGTCATGGACCGTAGGAGCTCCAGCCCTTCCTCCTCAAGATCCCCCCATCTGGCAAGCCCCAAGCCACACCTGGGCAGGTCGGGCGGAAGCACCGAGCGCTGGGAAGACCAGGCCTGGCCGGGCTGAGCATGGTAACTTGTCAGGGTTTGCACAAAATGTCTTGGGCCCCAGCTGCAGGCCCCTCAGGATGTTTCCCAAGAGGCTTCCCTGGGCCCCGCTCTATTGCAGAAGAGCCCAGGGGCTGCTTCGAAGGTCTCAGCCAAGTCGAGGCCCCTGAAGACACCAGAGCCAGGGAGGGGCCGGGGCTGTGCTTGGCATGCAGAGGTTGGGGGTCCTGACACCCCCTCCCCGGGGCTGTGCTTGGCATGCAGAGGTTGGGGGTCCTGACACCCCCTCCCCGGGGCTGTGCTTGGCATGCAGAGAGGTTGAGGGGTCTTGAATTTTTGTCCCCAGAACAATAGGCTGAGTGGACCCTGGAGAAAAGACAACCCCCCGCCACTGTACTGCCTCCACCGTGTCTCACAAAAGTAAGAGTGCTTGTTAGCCTCCAGCCGGCAGGCGCTGAGGACCCAAGCTGCACACACCTTGATATCAGACCCCTGGCTCCAGAGCCTTGTGGAGTAAACTTCTGCCGTTTCACCCCCCACTGTCTGTGGTACATGGTTAGCACAGCCCTAGAAAAGCAACAGATAGTGAGCTCCCTGTCATAGGAGGTATGCAAGCAGAGAGTGGACGGGCAGGGGCACTGTAGAAGGAGCAGCCCTGGGGACTCCAGCAGTCCGTCTTTGATTCTTCCCAGACCGTTAGCCCTGGGGCATGACCTTGGCCTTCTTCACCCCTGAAGGCCCAGGGCAGACAAGCCCAAAGGCACATACCAGCCAAGAGGAGGTGCTGGAGGGCCCAGGGGTCCTTCTCCTGCCACAGAGAGGGGTCCCAGTGCCAACTCAGCCCTCCCCACTTGCAGGCTTTTGTGTTCGGAGACACTGAGGTTTTAAGCTTAGAGGATGCCTCTGTGGGACATACCTGCACCATGGCAGGGGAGGAAAGACTGGGGCACATGAGTCCCCTCCCTCCCATCCTCACCCTGCAGCTGAGGGGACCACAGCAGAGAGATCCCCACACCTTCAGGGGCCCTGGGGACCCCAGGGGAACCCTCCTCAGATGACCTCAAACCCCCAGCATTCAAAACTTCCTGAGATCTGGCCCCAGCTGTCCCCTTTCCAGGGAAACAAAGGCACGCCTGGCTCCCCAGCCCCAGCCAGCCTCACTGAGCAAGGGGGCCAAGAGCGGCTCCTGGCCCCACTGAGAAAACGCTTCCTGTATGCTCTGCTCCTCCGTTCGCAGAGTCCTCACACTCCAGCCGAGACTTTTTAGCTTGAACTTTTCCCCAGTGAAACCACAGAAGCCCAACAGAGACGTGAAGACCAGGCCACCTCCCCAGTCTCCTCAGGGACCTCTCCCTGCTGGGGGAAGGGGACACGTGGGCCCACCTAATCTCGGTCATCTCAGCTAAAACACTGAACCACCCTCGACCCCCTAGCAGAGGACAGAGGAAAACTGCAGAGGGTGCAGAAGCCCCCATCACCATCACGTCCAAATGCAAAACACTCAAGCTGAATCAGCAGGGTGCTGACATCGGAGACACAAGAAGAGACCCTCTTATAGGAGGTTCGAGGCCGGGCGCGGTGGCTCACGCCTGTAATCCCAGCACTTTGGGAGGCCAAGGCGGGTGGGTCATGAAATCAGGAGATCGAGACCATCCTGGCCAACATGGTGAAACCCTGTATCTATTAAAAACACAAAATTAGCTGGGCGTGGTGGTGCGTGCCTGTAATCCCAGCTACTCAGGAGGCTGAGGCAGGAGAATCGCTTGAACCCGGGAGACAGAGGTTGCGGTGAGTCGACATTGCGCCGCTGCACTCCAGCATGGGTGACACGGCGAGACGCTGTCTCAAAAAAACTAAAGGTTTGAGAGTGTCAGACAAGGCGGCACCCTGAGCAGACGCTCAGGCTGGGCAGAGTCTCTCTTCGGGGAGGGGCTCCTCACACGTTGTGTCCTGATGCCACAGATGGGACAGTGGGGACTGGAGGAGGAAATGCTCCAGCTCGGCACTTCCCGAGGAGGAAGTGGCACCGGAATTTCCCCCAGGTGTGGCCGGCCTCAGGTATAAGAGCGGCCACTGCCAGGTTCGTGGTCAGGTGCACCTGTGGGATTGCCGCCAAGCCCAGCCTGTCCTGCTGCCACCACCATGATGGTGAGCCTGTTGCCCCTCCACGCACCACTTGGAGGGATGCCACTTGGGTGGCGCAGCCTGGGCTGGAAGCAGCTGAGCCCTGGGATGGGGATGTGGGGATGGGGTCTAGGAAGCCCCTAAAACTGGGGGTGGGGTCGGCAGCTGCACCCGGCTCCTCAGAGCTCTGGCATGGGTGTCTTGGCTGAAGGGCTAGCCTCTCTGGGCTTCAGTTTCCCCCTCTACAGAGGGAGGACCGTACACCATCTTTCCCCAAGGAACAAGGAAAGCTGGGGTGGAAGTGAGGTACCCCTGCCCTGGGCACCCCTAACCACCCACCTGCCTGTTTCCCCAGCTCCTCCCTGGCCTCCTGTTTCTGACCTGGCTGCACACATGCCCGGCCCACCACAACCCCTCCCTCAGGGGGCACCCCCACACTCATGGGACTCCACGCTGCTACTCGGCCGAGGAACTGCCCCTCGGCCAGGCACCCCCCCACCTGCTGGCTCGAGGTGCCAAGTGGGGGCAGGCTTTGCCTGTAGCCCTGGTGTCCAGCCTGGAGGCAGCAGGCCACAAGAGGAAGTACGAGGGGTCCTCGGCTGCAACCCAGTGCCCAGTGCTGCGTCCGGAGGAGCTGTTGGAGGCAGATACCCACCAGCGCTCCATCTCACCCTGGAGATACCGGTGAGGGCCTAGGGGTCCTGCTGTGGCACAGGGCCACCCCTCCCTGGTGGGGCACTGGCTGCCTGGAGAGCTCTCTGCACCTCGGTGGTTCTCACCTGAGCTCATCCCTCCAGCTCTGCTGACCTGGGTGGCTGCTGCTGCTTTCCGCCATCCTCTGCCTGCCACTGTCCTTGGTGACCAGGGTCCCCTGGGAAAATTCTGGGCCCCCCACCTGAGCTCCTGTGGAAGTGGGGCTGGGCGATGAAGTGGAAGAGAGGTTCCTGGAGGCCTCCAGCCTCTGCGGTGTGCTGTTGGAGGGCCCTGGGAAGACATGGGTCACCACCACGTATGAGCTGGACTGCACGCCAGGCCCTCCTAACCGGTGTGGCTCGGCCCTCACTGCCTTGGGTCCCATCCGGAGCACACGGGAAGGGGCCCTGAGGGGAGAGGGGGCTGAGGTGGTGAGGGTAGGGTCAGAGACTCACTGTGCCCCCAATCCTACAGCGTGGACACGGACGGGGACCGCTACCCGCAGAAGCTGGCCTTCGCGGAGTGCCTGTGCGGAGGCTGCATCGATGCACGGACGGGCCGGGAGACGGCCGCGCTCAACTCCGTGCACCTTCTCCAGAGCCTGCTGGTGCTGCGCCGCCAGCCATGCTCCATCCACGGCGTGGGGCCCCCCACCCCCGGGGCCTTCGCCTTCCGTGCTGAGTTCATCCGCGTGCCCGTCGGCTGCACCTGCGTGCTTCCTCGGTCAGTGTGACCGCCCAGGCCGTGGAGCCCCCAGACTGGACACGTGGGCTCCCCAGAGGGCACCCCCTATTTATGTGTATTTACTGTTATTTATACCCTGGGCCTGCGGGGGAGGCTATGCTCCCCCCACACTGCCCTTGGGGTCCTGGGCAGGGACAGAGCTCTCGGCAGCTGGCAGATCAGGGAGACGGGCATCCTCCGGGTCTGGAGGGGGGCCCCCACCATTCTCCCCATCTCCAGTCTCAGTGGTTGGGACTAGAAGGAGCTCGGCGCCTCTTCTGGCCCTTAAAACCACAGCCACAGAAAGCTGTGTCATGGCTGCCTGTACCGTGGCCCACCCCCCGGACTTCCCTCACCCACCACTGGCCTCAGGCCCCCCGGCTCCCTCTTCCCAACCTCCCTGAAAGTACCTCCGTCTCTTCAACAGTTATTTAAGTGTACATGTATTATTAAACTGATGAACCCATCCTCATTCAGTGGGACATTCTGCTCACCCTGGCCCAGGCCAGCCACTGACCCAGTTCTGGGGCATTCTTCCAGAAAGGCCTCTTCAGCAGCGAGCGGTGCATGCAGGTGGGACTGAGCTCGAACACGGTGTCCCTGCTCTGCCCAGGCATTGTCTCCCGAGGATACTCCAGGAACCGGGATGAGCCTCCTTCCCCCAAGCCAAGCCTTGAGCCCCGCCCCATCCTTTGTAATGACGGGGAGCGCCTAGGGGCACAATCTCGGCCTCCACAGCAAGAGTCTCTGAGGATGAGCTACCAGCGCTGTTGGCTCCGGAGCCCAAGGCCATGGGCCCAAGGCTTCCTGGTGTAGATCAACAGCCCAAGCCAACACGCCCTCCCTGAGGGAGAACTAACCTCGCAGGGCCCAGGGTCTGTTGAAGACTTTTTTTGTTTTTTTAAGACGGAGTCTCACTGTGTTGCCCAGGCTGGAGTGCAGTGGCACGATCTCGGCTCGCTGCAAACTCCGCCTCCCAGGTTCAAGCAATTCTCTGCCTCAGCCTCCCGAGTAGCTGGGATTACAGGCACCTGCCACCACGCCCAGCTAATTTTTGTATTTTTAGTAGAGATGGGGTTTCAACAACTTGGCTAGGCTGGTCTCGAACTCCTGACCTTGCAATCCACCTGCCTCGGCCTCCCAAAGTGCTGGGATTATAGGCGTGAGCACCATGCGCCAGGCCGTCTGTTGGAGATTTTAGTTACCGGTTCCCAGAGTGAGCAGCCTCAGTCGTGGAAATGGGGCCCAGGCCTGTGGCAGTCTCAGGCCTCAGTCTCTAGGCCTCCAGCGCTGAGGGCTGACATTGCCGTTGGGCCACTGGGAAGTTGTCAGCCTCTCCCCTGCCTGACCCCCTGGCTCACCCACCTACTGTGTACAGGGGCCTGGGGATGGGGGCAGGGGTGCTGCACAGAAGAACAAGGACTCCATTCAGTCCCCCAGAGGAGGAGGCCTCGGGGAAGACTTCCTGGAGGTGGTGGCCTTTGTCCAGGAGGTGAAATTTTCATTCAATATATTTATTTTCTTTCATTTTTCGAGACAGGGTCTCACTCCGTTGCCCAGGCAGGAGTACAGTGGTGTGACTTCAGCTCACTGCAACCCCAGCTCTGGGTTCATGCGATTCTCCCACCTCACCCGCCCAGTACAGGTGTGCACCACCACACCCAACTAATTTTTGTATTTTTAGTTAGAGACGGGGCTTCACCATGTTGGCCAGGCTGGTCTCGAACTCCCAAGCTCACATGATCCTCCTGCCTCAGCCTCCCACAGTGCTGGGATTACAGGCGTGAGCCCCCAAGCCCAGCCATATTGAGTTTCTACTAAGCGCCTGGCACTGGGAACAGGGCGAGAACGAAAGGGACAAGACCCCTCCTACCCCCACAGTGACTGACGAAGCCAGTGGCATTTAGTCTTCGAGTGAGTCCAGGACAGAGGCTCTGGGGGAGGCTGCAGTTCCAAGCAGAGGGTCAGGGAGGCCTGGAGACCTGAAGGGGAGGAGGGCGGAACCAGGTAGCAGGAAGGGCCTGAGAAGGCGCATGCTGGGCGTGTCCAAGGGTCCGAGTGGCCAGTGTGGCCGACACCAGATGGGCAGCACGAGGGACCATGGGGGCAGGGCAGGGCAGTGGGGGTGCAGCTCATGTCTGCCCTGGGGCCCTGAGAAGCTTGTGACTATCACTGGAGGCAGCTGAGCCTGTGGGTTCTGAGGCTGTGGACTGAGCTGGCAGCATGGGGTGAGGCTTTGGGTTTGAACAGCAGCAGCAGATTTCAGGTGAGGGCAGAGCGGATGAGGGCAGAGGAGTCTGCGGCAGCAGGTGACATGGGTGGGGATGGCCCACAGGCCTGGGGTCTGGACTTGGGCCAGGATGGATGTGGGGGTGTGGTGGCATCAAGGGTGACCTGAAGCTTGCTGACCTTGGGGGACGGCTCACTGTGCTGAGGCTGGGTTGAGCCGTCTATATGGTGCTGGGTGCAGGCTGCTGGGGGGTGAGTTGGGAACAGGAGAGGACCCTGGCTCTGAAGTGTGAGTTGCTGGGAGGCAGGAGGGACAGCAGGAGGCAAGGGCTTCTCTGACCTCGGGGGAGTGGGTGCCTCGGAGAGAGCCCAAGGGTGGGGGGGTGGCTGATGCCCGGCAAAGCTTTGGGGGCACGGTGCTGGGGAGGTGGTGAGATCAGTGGGCCGGGGCAGGATTATGTGCAGCCAGCCACAGCCACAGGCCCAGCACGAGTGACGGGCAGGGGTGGCCAGAAGCCCCCTGCAACTTGGCCTGAGTGTCCCGGGCAGCTGCAGGGACCCCAACACCAATGTGGGGGCAAACAAGGGCGCATCTGCCACCAGCCTCACCGCACCTTCTACAGAAGAGGCTCCCACCCTGTTCCCTCTTCACTCAATGCCAGCGGCCTCCTCTGGAATCCAACCCCCTTAAGGAGGCGTTGAGTGTGTCCAGAGAAGCGGATGGGCTGCGGGGCCTGGGGGACTGTCGAGAGACGACTCCACGGCGGCCTCCTGCAGGCCCGGGACGACCTTTCTAGGGAAGCACACACCTGGAATCCAGGTACCGTGGGTCGTGGACTACACGGTACCCCGGGATTTCGTGCTGCTGGGAAGGAAGGCGATGCTGATGCTAATAAAACTGGAACACGGCACCGCGTCCCGCCGGGCGGGAAAGGGGGTGCCTTGCGGTACTGAGGCAGCCTGGCCCCGCCCCCCGTCCCCGAGGCAGCCTGGCCCCGCCCCCCGTCCCCGAGGCAGCCTGGCCCCACCCCCCGTCCCCGCCCCCCGTCCCCGAGGCAGCCTGGCCCCACCCCCCGTCCCCGCGGCACCCTGGCCCCGCCCCCTGCCCCGCCCCCGACCACGAAGCAGCCTGGCCCCGCCCCCGGCCCCGCCCACACAGGCTCAGACGCTCCGGGCTTCGCTGCGTTTATTGCGGGCGGGCGCCCCCTTGGTGGGCGCGCGGGGCGAACGGGCAGGCCCGGGGCGCGGTCACACGATCTCGTCGGTCACCGGGATGGGGTTGTCCTGGGGGCCTGCCGAGGGGCCCTCCGCCGCCTCCGCCTCCTCGCTGGGCTTCTTGCGGGCCTCGGCCGGAGGCCGCGGCGGGGGGTTGCTGGGCGGCTGCTTGATGGTGCCTCCGACGTGCGGCCGCTCCCGGGGCTTGGGCTCGATGGGCGTCCACTGCTCGCCGCGCACTGCCGCCTGCGGGGCACTGAGAGGTTGGGCCGCGCCCAGCGCCGTCCCTCCCTCCCTGGAGGCCCACCCCGCCAGGGGTCCCGGACAGGCTTCAGTCTGAATCCCAGGCGGGACGGTGCGAGTGCCGCTCAGAGAGGTTAAGTGACGCGCCCGAGGACACACAGCCAGGACCTGGGTCGGCCTGACATCAACCCAAGCTATTGCTTCACGCCAGGAGCGCGGCGGAACCCCTGGGCTTCTGGAAGAGCCTCCTGGTGGCCGCTCCCAGATGCAAATTCCAGCACCCAAATTCTCCCAAGGCGCCCAGGGCTGGGGGGGGGCAGGAGGGTGGCCCAGAAGAGCAGAAGGCCCTGCTGTCTGGTGGGCGCCACCCACTCACCCACCGTGGGCGGCAGCCCCCCAAGAGTTCCCAGGCATTTCTGCACGCGGGGGTTTGGGGAGAGACTGAAGAACAGGGATTCAACGGGCTTCCTAGAAACACAGACTCCTGGGAGTGTGTGCTGTTCATCTCCTATCCCATAAAAAACACAGCAGGAAAATATGTCACATTACACGAGGAAGGTATACACAGAATCCTGCACACACACTAGAAGGTGCACACCCGGGGGAAGCAGCTCTCTCTGCGGGCGGGAGGAACTTGCACTGGGGACAAAAGGAAATGAATGAGCAAAGTCCAAGGGCTCTGTCCGCCCACAGACCCCGCGTGAGGGGCAGCCTGCAGCCATCTGCTCCGGAGCCCAGGGCAGGCAGGGCACTGCACCCAAGGCCTGTCCTGCTGTGACCTGTCCTCCTGCCCATCCCTACCCTCTTAGAAGGACCACTGTGTCCCACGAGCAGCCTTCTAACAGGGTGCTAGTGTCACAAAGCTAACCCAGGTGTCGGCAGTTTAAAAAAATGCGTGGCAGCGTGCATCCTGGCACCGCCCATCAATCAGCTCAGACAGGGTTCAGGTGAGAAAAGCCTGATAAGTGGACCCAAGCCCACGTAGGGCCTGTAGCAATGGTGTGATTCCAGGCCAGCTTCAGCACCTCTGAGCCTCCTGATCTTTGTCTGTAGAGCGGGGACCCCAGTACCCCTCCCAGGGCTGTGCTGCGGGGAATGAGCAGAGAAATGAGCAGACACACAAGATGTGCAGAGCAGCCGCTGCGGCAGTCATGTCCCGCCACGCTGTGAGTTCATGCCCCGGCTCGCACTTGCTTCCAGGCTGGCTCAGAGCCGGCTTCAAGGACCATGCATGTCTGAGGGTGTCAGGGCAGGGGCTGGGGCTGGGGGTGGCCGGAGCCGACCTCAGAGAGCACTACTCACCAGCAGGTAGATGCCACTGGCAATGGCCAGGCAGGCGGTCCCGAGGATGGTAGCCAGCAGGAAGCCGGCAGGCACCGACAGCCTGGTGGGGAGGGACACAGAAGGGCACTCAGAAAGAGGAACGGAGCCTCAGGTATGGGGGCCAAGGCCATGAGGTCTCAGGACAAGACAGACCACAGACCAAGGGGACATGTGGAGCCAGGGGCTTGTTTGGGTCCTAAGTGTTCTCAGCCTTGATGGGGACATGAGCAGCTCTGCACACTTGGGAGGAAGCCCCCGCAGCTGTAGGGCAGCCACACGCAGGTGTCCCGGCCTTGGCCGGCAGCAACCACCAGACACACAGCGTGGGAACTTCCACGCTACCAGGAAGCCCAGGCAAGACCCCCCAGCAGGGCCTGTGGGCCCAGCCCACTCTGCTGTGATCGGAGCTGCTCAGGTCTGGGGAGGATCCTTAGGAATCCCACACACTGGACAGCAGATACAGGCTCCAGGGGCCCTGACACACCTGGGGACCCGAATTTTGGTTTAGAAAAATGTCCAGGTAAGTGGCAGTGGCTCCAGGCCAGGCAGCCCGGCAGGTGGGACAGTGCTCCAAGCCGTCCTGAGCCCCAGAGGGGGTGGGGTGGGGTGGGGCGGGACTCACAGGAGGTGCAGGACGGCCCGGATGTAGTAATTCCTGGTGAGGGGCCCGAACAGCTTCACCACGGCGGTCATGTACTTCTGCCCACTGTGGGAGGGAGGAAGGGGGACAGTGCGGTGGGCCTCTCCCACTCCGGACCGCTCCAGGGCACCCGGGCCTCTTTCCTCCCAGGCAACATGCCAGGCAGGCACGGGCCTTGGTTTGCCCACAAGGACCGAATGGTTGGTTCCAGAGCCTCCGAGCGAGGAACCAGACTCCACATACCAGACCCTGTGGGCCCTGCTTGGGCCCCACAGCCCTGGGACAGACCCCAGAGCATGCAGGAGGTGACTCACCAGCGCTCCATGGTGGAACCCTTCTTCCTCTTTCCGCGGGGGTACTCCAGCAGGCAGACAAACACGCCCGCCACACTGAAGCCATGTGGTTAAGGAACAGCCCAGTTCAGCCTGAGGGGCCACACGGTGAGCCCTCTTTACTAAGACAGCATGAAGAGGGTCCGGGCACGGCGGCTCACGCCTGGAATCCCAGCACTATGGGAGGCTGAGGCGGGAGGATTACTAGAGCCCAGGGGTTTGAGACCAGCCTGGGCAACATAGTGAGGCCTTCATCTCTACAAAACATTTAAAAATTAGCCAGGTGCGGTGTCATGCGCCTGTGGTCCCAGACACTCCAGAGGCGGAGGTGAGAGGATTGCTTGAGCCCAGGTGGAGGCTGCCATGCGTCATGATGGCACCGATGCACTCCAGCCTAGGGGACAGAGCGAGACCCTGTCTCAAAAAAAAGTGGGGTGAGGCAGCCACTGCCTGAGGTCACAGGGCAGGAAACAGCCACAGGAGGTGCACCTGAGGCTGGCCCACACCTGCCCTCATACCACCCTGCCCATTGCTCCTTGTTGGGAGGTCTGGTAGGGCAGCAGGGCTGAGATGGGGCAGAGGAGGTGGAGGGGCTGGCCAAGGTGGATGACTAATGGGGATCCCAGCAGTCCTAGGGAGGCCCCAGTGCTGGCCCTGGCCCTGGCCCTCAGGGGACACCACCTGCCCACCCCTCGCCAGGACTCAGGCTGGCAGGTCTGCCACTGACCACCACATGGCCCAGGGAGCGGAGGCAAAGTGCTCCCTGTGAAGTGGCTCCCAGGCTCTGCCCTGGGCATTCCCTGCCCACCCCCGCCTCAGGTGGAAGGATACATGGAGTAGGCTCCAAAGTACCACTGGGTGAAGTGCCCGGCAGTGGCCACAATGCCCCCGGTGATGAGGACTGCGGGGAGAAGTGGGTCAGGCACTGAGTGGCTCCCATCCTGGAGGCCTGGGCCACCCCCTTTCTCTACCATGGGCCACCAGGCCACCAAGAACTGTCTTCTGCAGTCCATGTGTTTGTCCCTACGGATCCCCACAGCACAGTGACAGAGTCGGGGACACCCCAGGAGGCAGCCCCCTGCGCTGGTGAAGAGCAGAGCTGGTGGCGCATGGCCTGGCAGAGTGGAGTGTGTGACGTGCCTGGGCTCCGAGGCCCAGGAGCGGCCAAGGGACGGCCCGACCTGCAGGCGCCAGTGGGCCTGTGCTCCTGGGCTCTGGGACCCCCGAATGGACATGCTTGTCACCGTGTCTTTGTTTGATGCATGAAAGCCTATATGCCCAGTGTGGTTTCTGCATCTGGGAGTGTCCCTGGCGCAGAGCTTCTCCAAACCTGGCAGCTGTCGGCCTTACTTTTGGTTCCGACTGATGGGGCCATTTCTGCCCCTTTCTTTTGCTTATTGTCTGATACTCCCTCTTACTGGTTTTTTTTTGCGGGGGGGGGACAGAGTCTCACTCTGTCACCCAGGCTGGAGTTCAGTGGCTCTCCCAATCGCAACTCACTGCAACCTCCTGGGTTCCAGCAGTTCTCCTGCCTCAGCCTCCCAGGAGCTGGGACTACAGGCGTGCACCATCATGCCTGGATAATTTTTGTATTTTTAGCAGAAACGGGGTTTCACCACATTGGCCAGGCTAGTCTTGAACTCCTGACCTCAGGTGATCCACCTGCCTTGGCCTCCCAAAGTGCTGGGATTACAGGCGTGAGCCATGGTGCCTGGCCCTGCTTACTGTTTTCTAGACAGGATCTTGCTGTTACCCAGACTGCAGTGCAGTGGCACAAACACAGCTCATTGTGCCACAGTCACAGTCACAACCCGCTGGGCTAAAGCAGTCCTCCCACCTCAGCCTCCCGAAGTGCTGGGATTACAGGCGTGGCCGCCTCACCCTGCCAGCATTGCTCTTGTCACCCCTTGTTCTTCCCTGAAGATTTCCTATCCGTGGTTTGAGCTCAGCTACACATTAACTCCCTGACCTTGCCCATCTGCCTTGGAGGAAGGCAGGGCAGTGTCCTTCAGTCCACTCAGCCTGTCATCCGTGCATCTTTGGGGAAGTGTCCCAGTCCTGAGCCTGCCCTCCGAAAGAGGGTGCAAGGCTGCTGCTGGTGCCACCAGGGAGGCCTGAGGACATACTGTGGCACCCAGCCACACTTATAGAGCACCTGCTGTGTACAGGGACTCTGTCAAGGGCCCCACTCTCTCAGGGCCAGCTGCCTCCTGGGGCTCCACGTTCTGGAGACCTCCCCAAACAGGTGGCATTTGAGAAAGAAATGGGACAGCCATGAGGCTCTGCAGAGGCAGCAGCTTGTGCCAAGGCCCTGGGCATGCTTAGAAGATGTAGAACAGAAAGGAAGCCCCGGCAGCTGGAGGAGGGGGTGGGGAGGCTGGGGTGGGCAGATCAGGGCAAATGTGCAGCAGGGTGGGATGTTGGACTGGGCTGGGCAGGGCGGTCACCCGGTGGTTTCCGTGCCTTGTGAAATCCCAGGCGACTCCAGATGAGGAGGGCTGAGCCCCACAGCATGAGGAGCCCACCTTCCCACCCCAAGCCCAGGGGGCCTGATCCCCAGCCCAGCTGTCTACCGAGGGGAGGGGAGCTTCTCCCGATGTCCAGGCCAGAGCCCCCACTCAGGGGCCTGGGGGGGGCGGCGATCACCCCGGAAACCACCGGGGCTGAACCGCCTCTTTCCCTGCGCTGCAACTTCCTCCTTCGCGGAGTCGGGGACTGAGGGAAGCGAATGGGGGAGGAGGCGCCGCTCCGCTGGGTCTGCAAGCGGACTGTTCGGGGTCTCGGAACTCCTCCTTCCAGCCCCCGTTCCCCGCACCCTCCGGGCCTGATCCCATCACAGCCCAGCCGCCTGGTGCCCCACTTCCCCGCCCGGTAAGTAGTCTGAGGTCCCCGGCTGGGGTCTCGGGACACCCCCAGGCTGCAGCCTCCACCGCCCCTGCCGCGCACTCACTCAGGCCGGACGCCAGCGCCTGCTCGTTGGCCCACATGGCCCACTCGATCTGCCCCATGGCTGCGCAGACCCGGCTGGGACACTGCCAGGCGCGCACTGCCGCCCCTGCGCTCCCGGCCCAGTCCCGCCCCGCCCCGCCCCGGCCCCGCCCCCAGCCCCCCAGGTGACCGCGGGTGGGCGGAGACCCGCCTCTAGGGTGCGGGGCTGTCCCGGAGCCTTCTGCCCTCGCCCTCTCCAGACGCGACCGAGGCTCAGGAGGGGCCCTGCGTGGCAGCCCCAGGCCAGGCGGGGCGTCTGCGTTTCCCAGCTTCTGCTCTCCCGCACTGACTAGTGCCCCTGCCCAGCGCAGGACTTCCAAAGTACCACTGTGTCCTTGTTGTCCTCTGTCAACAAGCCTTCTAGGAACAGCAGAGAAAGGTGTGAAGGGTCAGCTTCCTGAGCAGATCCGCCTCTCCCGAGCCTTGGGGGTTGGGGGTCACCCCTACAGCTCAGGACACCTCTGCATCCTGATGCTACAGGGGCCAAGGGTGGCCTCCCCGTGGCAGCCTGAGGCCCTGCCCCCATTTCTTCACCCTGACTCTAGGCTGGCACAGGCGTGGCCTGAGTCTGACACTGTGGGCCTCCCCTCGCCATCACTGCACTGTGACTGTGACTCAGGGGGAGGGGACAGGGACAGCTGCCCTGTCATGTCCAGCCTGCGGATGGGAGGCAAGGGTTGGTGTAAGGGTGAGGAGAGGGCAGCAGAGGTGATAAGTGGGAGGTGGGCCCAGTGCCCATGGGAAGACTTTAGGGGCGGCCTGAGGCACTGTGGGGTTTCAGGGGAGCCTCCCATGCCTCTACCTGGCTCCCCAGGCCCTCACAGGGCACACCTGGACTCCCTGCAAGTCCCAGGCCACTCTGAGCAGGAGCCCAGGAATGCTGGTTTAGGAAACAGGAAAACAGGAGGACCTCACTGAATCTAAACAACAAAAGAAGGAAAACAGCAGGAGACAGAGGCCGCAATGCCACTTTATTCCCACGGCCACGAGGGCCATGCTGCTGCCCACTCCTGCCACCATTCCAGTAACACCTGGGCCTGGGGGTCTCATCGGAGACACTTGGTGGCTTCCTGAGGCCCAAAGTGGCTGCTGCAGCACAGCGACCCCTTCCCTGGCCCTGAGGGATGCCAACTTCCTGCCGAACTCCCGTCTGGGAGCAGTGGGAACGGCCGGAGCGCGGTGAGAAAGCCCTTCAGCCCTGCCGCACCTGGCTCTGCCAGCTTTCATGCCCCAACCCCATCCATCCTGGCGAAGTGCTGGTGTAGCTGAGGCACTCGGTGGGGGCCTCTCCTGACATCCGGCAGCCGCAGGTCTCCCCGCACTGCCCCATAGCACGCTGCCCATGGGCCCGAAGCCAGGCCACCACACACAAGTCCCAGCGGTCCAGCCAGTCCACCACACCCGCTTTCTAGCTCTGGCGAGGACACCCCTTCTCCAGGTGGCGTGCGGTCCTGCGGAGGCGGTCAGGCAGCTGGCTTCGGCAGGCCATCAGGACCCAGGAGGTGGGTGTAGGGGTCATCCAGGATTTGAGGCCCCGGCCCCACCTGGAGGTAGAGACCCATGTCAGGTCACCAGCAATGGCAGCACACTGCCCTGTGCCCCAGCATGTGTAGGGGCTGGACACAGGAGAGCAGCAGTGGGTCCTGGTCAGAAGCTATGCCACCCAAGTGACACCCACACCCAGCTCCTGCAGGCACAGATGCCCCTGCCAGCTGGGGGCCCTCTGCCTGGGGCACTGCCTGTCACTGGGTAGACAGAGGACCACAGTGCCTGGAAGCACACAGCCCTGTGCCCGCGGCCCTTGAGAGGAAGTTGAAGGCAATGGCTCGGGCGGGTGTGATCGCTGACAAGGGCTTGGCCCCCTGAGCAGGTCAGAAGCAGGAGTCCTGGTCTACTGGGCCAGTTGGGGTTGGGGGAGCCCCAGCAGCACCCATCCCAGGCACTCCCCTCCTGTCTCCCTGGGAGCCTGCATCAGACTCATCCTTCCACCCCAGCCTGGCCCAGTCCTGCTGCTCCGGCCTCGCTAGTGGCCTGCAGCCTCCCGTTTGAGAGCAAAGGAATGAAATGCAAGTGCCAAAGGCATTCTGGCCTGAAACACGGTAGGGACAGGGAGCTGGGCTGAGCCTGGGCGGGCCCCTCTGGCAGGAAAGGAAACCCCACAGGGTACTGGGCCTCACCTGAGTGGCGATGATGTACTTGACCCCACCAGGAGTCGGCTCCATGGCCAGCGCAGCCTTAAGTTCAGCGGGGAGAGAGGCTGGCCTCACCTGCAGCCCCCTCAGAAACCTGGAAAAGCAGGGCAGGGGCATGGTGCACATGTGCATTTCTCTAAGCGTCTAGGACAGGCAAGGCCAGAGACAGGAAGGTATTCCTAGCTGGCAGGGCCCAGGGAGGGGAGATGGCAGGTGGCTGCTATGGAGACAGGGATGGAAAAGTGAAGGAGGTGGCTTCACAACCCTGTGAATGTCTCCACCCATGGGATGCGGGATCCTATGCTCTCGAGACGGAGTCTCACTCCGTTGCCCAGGCTGGAGTGCAGTGGCGTGACCTTGGCTCACTGCAACCTCTACCTCCCAAGTTCAAGCAATTCTCCTGCCTCAGCTTCTGGAGAAGCTAGGACTATAGGTGCCCACCACCTTGTCCAGCTAATTTTTGAATTTTTTGTAGAGATGGAGTTTCACCATATGGGCCAGGCTGGTCTTGAACTCCTGACCTCAGGTGATCCACCTGCCTCAGCCTCCCAAAGTGCTGGGATCACAGGTGTCAGTCACCACGCCTGGCCGGAGACAGTAAGTTTGAGGTTATGTGGTAAACAGCTATGTCCAGGCTGGGGCTGCTCTGAAGGGACCTTCAAGAGGCCTGGGCCCGTGTCTGACCAAGGCTGCTGCCCAGCCCCCTGGGGTCACAGCTTAGGGAAGTGCCCAGTTCGAGCTTGTGCACTTGTCACGGTGTTCCATGGAACAGCGAAAGCCTGCACACCCCACCCGGAGCAGGGGCACGGGCCTGGCACTGCCCAGGAAGGCAGTCCTACGGTGTGGGTCTCAGTCCGTCGTCTCACAGGGCAGGCCCCCAATCATTGGAAGTCAATATTGCCTCCACCCAGGGCAGACACACATCCCCCACACGCCTGCAGACCCCCTTCGGCAGGAGGCGCCCCTCACACTGAGAATGAGACCGTGACAGCCACGGGACGAAGAAACTGCCTGTGGCCTAAGGAGTCAGGGCCGAGCTACAAACTGAGGAGGGCGTACATGGGGGCTCCATGGGGCCAGAAGGCAGCTGCTGGACCCTGCCCCAGAAAGAACACCCAACTGCAGGGAAGCGACAACACTGGCTGCCTGGACTGGCTCTGACTCATTTCAGTGAGGAGGAAGTCGGAGGCTTTGAACCCTTTCCTTCCAAATGTCAGACACGTGTACGTGCTCCTGGGAATGCAGGCATGTTTCCCAAGAAGCCACTCTTCTATGGACTAGAGGCCTGCAGGCTCCCGAGCTGTAGGGGACACCGTCTCTCAGGAGGTGGAGACCCTGGGTGTCACGTCGCTCACACACACGTGTGTGGCTTCGCTTTTTTCCTTGTGGACGTGGGCTGTGGGATGGCTCCATGGGGACACACTGTGTAGATCCCACATTTGGGGGGATGGACACTTGCCATGGGACGCCCAGTCAGCGTCACAGCCTTCAGCTGCCTCCGTCCCCTCGGGAAGGATGTTCTGGGCACCATCTCCCAAAAAGGAGGAGGGGAGGGTCCACACTCACGTGTCTCCATTGGACCCCGGGGGAAAGGTGTGCCTTACTGCAGCCACAAAGTCAGCCATGGTATCCTCCAGGGTGAAGATCACAGCATTGGGGCCCGCGTCAAAGGTGTACGCCACCTGGAACCCATGGCAGTCACCCTGGCTGTGTGTGTGGTGCCTGGCCTTGTACCCCCAACCCTCTGGCCTGCCTGGGGGCTCTGGGGTCTCCAAGGGCTCAGTCTGGGCGCTCAGAGCCACACTGGAGCGGAGCTGTGGCCCCAAGGGCCTGTTACTTGACACCTCTGCCTGTGAACCCAGGACAACGGCAGTGGGGCTGTGAGCCAAGCAAGCCAAGAAATGAAACCCAGGAATCCACATGGTCAGTGAACTTGGCACACAGCAGGGCAGAGCCTTCAGACAGATCCCCATGCACGCAGGTCTCAGGACCGCCTCCACGGCAGCACACGGCTAGACACGTGCTACAGCCCTCAGCATGAGAGCGCAGCCGCTGCCCTCCCAGCCTGAGTCACCTTGGTGTCCCCGTGGTGGGCGTTGAAGCGGTGCACCAGGTGGATGATGCGCCAGGAGATGTGGCTGAGGTAGGAGATGGGCGGGAAGGTGTCGAGGCAGGTGGCGTGGAACTGGTTGCTGTCCTGCATGGTCAGCTGCGCGAAGCCCCGGAAGTCTCGCTCCTGGATGCAGCGGGTCATCTCCGCCATACGTGCAGGCACCACGGACTCGGCCCGGAACTGCAAGGCACAGGTGTTTTCCATGGAGCCGCTGGGGGTCTCGAGGGCACCGGGATCCAGGCAAGGCTCCGGGCTTGGAGGCCCGGCTCAAGCCCTTTCTCTGTGTTTGGCTCCTCCACCTGGTCTTGGCAAGAGGTTGAAGGCAGAGCAGGGCACAAGCATGACCCCCCAGCCCCAGGGCCACCCGCTCCTGGCCTCACCCGCAGCAGGGGGCTGGTCTTCACGCTGGCCTGCATGCCCACAGTGCTGCCCATCAGCTTCTTCTCAGCGCTCACCTGCATGGGGAGACAACCTGGGCTACAGCCTGCAGGGACCAGCCCCAGGGACTGCAGTTCCCGACACTTGGCCCTCCCTGGCTGATGCAGGCAGCGGGGGTGGGAGTCAGTGCCTCCTGCATGACCACGGAGGCCTCCCAGCCACAGCAGGGGCGCCACATGGGAGCACTTCCTGAACACACAGCTGAACAGTGGCTGCTTCAGCCCCCACTGACACCAGGAGCCAAGCGATGCCTGGATGGGATGCCTTCCCTCCTGTTCCCAGCAGCAGCCCTGACTAGGGGCAGAAGCCGCCAACTGGTGCTACACGCCACCCCACTCACCACCAGGATAAGGACGCGGAGTTCAGGCCAGTGGGAC